TCTGAGTTAAGGCAGCCAGTGATGTTGATTTCGGCATGTTCCCCAAGCTCTCGTGCTGTTGATATAACGAAACCACCGCTTTTACTTCATCAAATGTGCCCCTACCAGCTGCGTGCGCGTTCAAAAGGTGAACATCGCCAACGCCAAAAAGTCGCGCCTCGTTTGTTTCATCGCGTACATAAGACCGACCGCCTTATTTCTTGCAATTGGATCGCCGCCATTTAGAATTAGGCTTGTTGAGCTAAGTGAGATCGGCATTGGCACGAGCGTTGTTGATCTTCTGGTGACCGAACGGATGGTGACCGAGGTCACACGAGATCAATCAGCTGGTTCATGTTAAATGTGACCAAAGAAAAAGCGCATCCAATGTGTCTTACTAGCTCTTAAATCGACTGTGTATTGTCCTTCTCTCCATGCTGCGTAAGTGAAATAACTTACGTATCAACGCAATAAGTAGCCGAAGCGCATGAAAACACAATCGGAAGAGGTGACTGTCCGAGCACAATGAGGAGCACGAATGGATTCAAGCTGCGCCAATTGTGATACAACATCAATAATGCCTGCCGGCCTGCATCCTCGCATGAAGTTTGTGACAAGGTCTCAACCAAGCTCTCACCGAACAAGCGAATCGCGGGAGTTTTCGATAAGCCGGCGCATGCCTTGTACATATGATCGCAAGGTGGAGACTCAACAGAGCGATGATCGTTGTTAATCCCCTGGCAATGTCCGGCTTCTTCACAGCCTCCAATGCTACAAAATATCTTTTCCAACAAGGCAGTTCCCCGCCGGTTTTTAAAAAGTTCTCTTGGGATCTTTCGCAGATTGGTAACGTTATTCGCCATCACCGCCGGCCGGTAGAGTCCGGGCCCTGGCAGACGGTATGCCGTATCGGGAAGGTCGATCGAATTAGGCAAGGATTTCATTGACGTGCGCTGTAATTTTTGGTTGTTAGTAAGCTGCCATAGAGGACCTTTTGAATCAATTTCATGGAGACCAGCTTAAAATTGCTCGATCGGGGCTTGGAAGACGGCAAATGGCCGATGCTACAGCATCTAGTATCAACTTGGGAAGGTCTCTTGTTCGACTGGGGTTTTTGCTGTAGTCTGCCTGGAGTTCTGGAAAGACAAGGTAAACTCTAGGCAGACTTCCTTCCAAAGAAGTCCTATTTTTTATCTATTTGCAAGGCTCTTTTGTTTCTAAAGCTGGTTGTCGCTTTACGCCTTTCCAGCCAGTCGTGGCTAATACAATGAGGAGCAGCCGCTTTCACGCCAGGCACAATTTTCGGCAGCCGCTCAAGCGGGAGATAAATCTCGGCATAGTCTCTTCTCGGTAGGAATCCGGACCTGACTGCGCGGGCTATGTTCATTGGCGACAAAAATCCCTTGGCATGCGGGCCATGTCAGGGCCATATCTGTATGTAGTGCGGCCGGGGTGGAGAATGAACCAAGACGCGGGAGCTTTGACAAGAAGAGCTAGACGGGCACTTGCGTGATACCACCTTGTGAATACAATAGTTCTTCAGAGAACCCGAATTGATTGGTCAGAGGCATGTAATAGAAGACGCGAGAATGGGTATATAAACTGCCCGGTCGACTCGGCCACTCGGTTCTGACGGAGTGAGAGAGAGAGAGCTTGAGTCTTAAGGCAGCCGGCTCATAATCCGAGGCGTCAAAGGATTTCGGTAGCTTTCAAGCGTGGACAGACCAATCCGTCGCGATGCGGTCGTCTAACACCATCTCCGTGGCAGCGGAACTTCTCCTGCTCGCCGGGGCTGTCTCTGCCAGCACCCCTCAGGACACGAACCCTCCCAAGGCTCCCATTGCACCTGGTGTCCTTGCTTCAAACAATGGTCCTACTCACGGCTACTTCCAGCAGCTCATCGACCATGATCACCCCGAGCTTGGCACCTTTTCTCAGAGATATGCCTACAACGGTGACTACTACAAGGGCCCCGGCTCGCCAATCATCTTGGTTGGACCCAACGAGTCTGCTCTGGATGGTTACGAGGGATACACCACCAATGTGACTCTTCCCGGTGCCTATGCGCAAGCAGTTGGCGGCGGAGCCATCATCATCGAGCACCGCTACTGGGGAGATAGCTCGCCATACCAGTCTCTTGACACTGAGAACATGACATACCTTACAATGGAGCAGTCCATCAAGGATCTCACCTACTTTGCCCAGAACGTCGTTCTGCCATTCGACCAGAACCGCACCAGCACTCCCGACAAGGCGCCCTGGGTCCTCAGCGGCTGCTCCTACAGTGGTGCTCTGACAGCGTGGGTGCAGGACCTTGCTCCTGGAACTTTCTGGGCCTACAGTGCCTCCAGCCCCGTGGTCGAGGCCATTGGCCCGCTGTGGCAATACTTTGAGCAGGTCAAGCTGGCAATGCCAAAGAACTGCACAGCCGACTATATCAAGATCGTTGACCACGTGGACAGTATTCTGCTGGGATACGATCAGAAGGCCAAGGCCGAGCTCAAGAGCATGTTCCGCCTGGAGTCTGTTGAGCATGATGATGACTTTGCGGCCGCGCTGGTCAGCGGATTGTACACCTGGCAGGATGTGCTCTTTTCGGACGGCTTCAGCGCCACGAACCAGATGTGCGACTATGTTGAGGTGAGTAAAAATGTTGAAATGATTCCTCAAGTGATTGTAAACTAAAATGGGTGACAACAGAACAAATGGCCCAACAGCACCAGCCCAACTCCTGGGCCCCATGGCGTTGGTCTCACAAAGGCCCTGGCTGGATATGCCAAATGGTTCACCGAACTCAGCCTGCCAAACAGTGAGTTATATATGTGATAAGAGGTGACAGAGACAAGATCTGACAACGTGTTAATAGCTTGTTCTAATTACGGATACTGGACCGGCGAGTACGATACCGACTGCTTCAACACGTACAACGCAACGAGCCCCTTGTACACAGATCTCACCCCTAGAAACGCTGCCAACCGCCAATGGAACTGGTTCCTCTGCAATCAGCCGTAAGTCCCGAAACCCGGCTTATATCCCGCAGATTGGCATCCCATACTGACAAATTTCACAGCTTCAAGTGGTGGCAGGTCCGCGGCGAGGGCAACCTCGTCTCTCGCCTCGTCACACAAGAGTACTTTGAGCGCCAATGCGGCCTCTTCTTCCCCAAGGAAGGAGACTACAGCTACGGCATTGCCGAGGGCGCCACCACGTCCGATGTCAACAGGGTTACTGGCGGTTGGTTCAACGTCAACACGCACCGCCTGCAGTGGGCTGCTGGAGAGTTCGATCCATGGAGGCCCGCTACAGTTATGGCAACCAGTCGTCCTGGTGGTCAGCTGCATTCGACTTCAGCCCACCCCGTGCGTGTCATTCCCGGAGGAGCGCACTGCGGCGACCAGTTGAGGCGCAATGCAAACGCAAACACCGCGCTGGCGAACATTTTTTCTGCTGAGGTGGCGACCATCAAGCAGTGGGTGCAGGAGTTTTATGATGAGAAAGGAAAGAATCACTATTAAATGAGATATATATTAGGCGTTGGCGGTATATATAACGTTAGATGAACACTTGAAAGGCGTATATAATCTCAAGAAGCTTATGAATAAATAAATACCTAATAAATTAGCAATTGTCGCGACCAGTGTCCAAATGCTCCTCTCACTGAGTTATCTTACCATTACCAAACTCCAGGAATGATAGCCCACTTCTTCTTAATCTTATCCTCCCCAAATCTCTCCATATACCACTTCTTCCCGTTCACAGCTCTCGGCAGCATCGAGAAAATCTCGTTCACGAGAAACGCCCTGGCAGGAGCGCAGCTCCACCCAGCAGCCATCCAAAAGCCGAACCATTCAACCCACTCAGACAAGTAGTGCGGATACAGCATGTACCGAAACAACCCCGCCTGCGGGATTTGGTAGTGCTTCTCCACGCCGGCGGCCTGGCTGTCGCTGCCGGCCTTCTTGCGGATGCGCTCCTGGCGCTTCTGCTCGCGGCGCCGGATTTCTCGCAGCTCTTCGTCGTGGAAGAAGTTTGACGAGAGGCCAAGGTAGAAGATGCCAATGCCAAAGATGAACTGGGTGACGGAGCACGCAGAGGACCAGGCTTCGGTGGTGGTGGGGCCGTAGGCAGAGAGCCAGGAGGAAATGCAGAGGGCGTTGCAGACCTGGAAGCCGATGGCGAGAGCCCAGACGCCAACGTGGATGGGGGACATGGAAGGCTGGAGGAAGGGGAAGAGAACAGCTCGGTAACAGTAGTGAATGACCTGGATGAGAGATTTGTCAGTGGATATTCTCGCCATCATACTAGAATGTGTGTGTAATTGATGAAAGGACACATACAAAGAGCCCGCCCAACACTCGATTCTGGAACGGCAGGTCATCGACCCCAGCTTTCTGCGGCAGCGTATTCATAACGTACAACAGCGTCAAGAAGCCGGGACACTCCATCGTAATCCAGGCTATTCGGCCAGGGATGTTGAGTCTGCTGCTCACAGACGTTTTGCCCATGCCATACCAGCTAACAACCCATTGCAGCGAACCACACTGTCATGACGGCAATTAGTGTAAGTTCAATCTATTATTGCCCCTTCAATAAAAATTGAAGAGAGCAGGGAGAATATGAGAATGAATGAGGGAAGCTTACAATCGGATAGCCAATCTGCCACCAAAAAAGCAGTAGCTCGTAATTTTCCCGCGTGGGAGGATACCACCCTTCAATTAACGACATGACGACGAGGATGGCAGATAAAGCAGAAACAAACAAAGCCACGCGTCACGGAATCATGTAAGATGCTCAATCATGAATCGTCAATCGATGGAATACAGTGATTGACGTAGATGCGTATGTCCAGTAGCTCTCCGTAAGCCACAAGCCTTCTGTGGCTGGCGCTTGATGATGTCAACAAACAGCTGAACGAGGACTACTCCATAGCTGCATGGCCAATTCTGCCGCTAGACGCCACCTGCCGAATAAAGTGCCAATACAAGTATAAGAAATAACAAGACCGACCCCGATAACTGCATGGTGTGCTGGCGCAATGGTAGCGCGCAGTCCTCCTATTACTATCCGTAACAGGGAGATCCAGACTGAGGCTCAGGGTTCGAGTCCCTGGTACATCGTTTCGCCATGATTCATTTTTTTTTGGTGCGTTTAGGCTATTCTGCGTTGTGTATCGTCATCATTGTACGAGATTCTTTTTGTGCCCTCATAGATATTAAATATACAATGAGAGGGCTACCTACCTACTGAGTTTAAGATTGGGTAGAATCCTAGTTTTATTCTCACACAAGCATTTATTTGTTATTGTAAGAGAGATACATATAAGCCAAGACATTTGCTTATTCGTCCAATGCGTTGTAAATAAAAGCTTTCGTATCACTGCATATCTCATAATAAAAACATGCTCCTATGCTTGAAGATAGAAAATTCAAAGGAATGTGCCCTCCTTATAATAGCTGAAGCCCAAAAACGCCTGCAAAGCATGATATCCCCCTGGTTATTCGCAAAAGTGACAGTCCCTGCTACAATAGATAGCTCATTCCCATTCAATCAGTGATTCATTCTCCGCCATTTCTCTTCACATTACTATACAATCTCTATCAGATTTGCTCGAGGACCCTCCAGAAGTCACAGCAGGTCTTCGATTTGCTGGAACTGAGGCGTTGGTTCGTCGTCCACGACCTGGCGTAGGAGATGCTACACCATTGCTTGTTCGAGATGCCTGTCTGGAAGCCGCAGGGCTACTTTCGTGGTGGTTAGGGTGTCCTGGAGGAGGAACATATGCAGGAACCTGGGCAGCCTGTTCATATGAGGGTGGCGGCGGTTCATCAGAGCTAACTGGCCTATTGACACCTGGTCTCGGAGGAGGAACTAGGGGTCGGACGGTTTGTGACGTGGGTGCGCGTGCAGGCAAAGACCGTTGAGAAGTAGAGGCAGGGAGTGCACTGGTGCTATTATTGGCACTATTGCTGACACTGTTGGAACTTCGCCGCGGCGGCGGAACAGGCGTGCTGCTACTGGGGCCGGCCGCAGAGCTGCGACGGGAAGTATTGTTACCGCCGGTATTTCCTCCAGAATTGCCTCCAGGGCGAGTAACGGGTATGGGAAGGTGAGCTTGCTCAATATATTGCTCTGAGAGTGCTCGCTCCCGTTGCCGCCGAGCCTGTTCTTCTCGGTGTTTCTGATCCTCTTCTTCTTGTAGCTGCATGGCGAGGGCCAAGTCTCTGTCTTCCTGTTCGGTGCTGGAGCTCGCTTGACCTTGTTCTTCAATAGGGGCGGTCTCCTTAGTCTTGCCCCGTTTGCTGGTAACAGTTGTCCAATTACCACTTCCCTGGTCGCTGTGGCGTTTGCCGGCTCCGGTACTTAGTTCTGTCGTGTTATCACCGCTTACAAGTCGGTAGTCCCCAGACATAAACTGGTTTAGTTCCCCGTTGACATCCACCAGACTTTCCCATACTATTTCATCATGGCTCCGGTAGCCGGCATCTGTCACAAGAGTGAGGAGCTGATGGGTTTGTGGATGACAATACAGCGTTGAAAAGTGGTCATTGCGGAAAAGGATAGCAAATGTACCGGGTCGAATTGCCTTTTGGATGACCTCGATTCCCCACGGCGTCAGCTGGGTAGCTGACTCATTCAAAAATATCTTGATGGTGATGATGTCTTGATATAAATCTTGCTCCGCTTCCGTGAGGCCCTCCTCAGAAGTGGCTAATTTATCCTCTAGCTCTTCTTCGCGGAACAGAAGATTCTGCACATCTTCGTAAGAGGTAGCATGTCTTTGCATGGAAGCACAGACGGCGTCATCGTAGGGCGGTAGCCATCCATGAACGAGAGGAATAGAAAAAGTCGCATAGAGGTTCATCTCTGCCGTGTCCTCAAAAGTTCCAGGGATGTATTTGTGCCGCTCTAGTGGGTGAAGCTGTGTTAGTGAAGTATGCTCGTATGCGGTGATAACTTCTGGAGTGGGGATGAATCGCGGATTGACGTTCATGCCGGTGTGGAGACTCTGGAGAAATGAGTATAGTTCCGCGACATCTGGCAGAGAGTCCTCTGACGATGTTCTTCGAGGAGACATGAGTTCGTCAAATACAGCATCCAGCAGAAGACTCAAGCTGACTTGCTCCCGTGAACGCAAAACTTGAACCAGTACTGTATCGGGGATATCGTCAGGTGTCGTCATAGTCAGCGCGTTGACTAACGCGACCAGGGGGCAAGGCCCGTTCTCATTCTGTATAAGTATGGGCGACACGCGGGGGTTGTTGGATGAGTTGGGGTCGTGCCAGCGGATATTCTTCACCTGGTACGTTTCTGCCTTGCCGTCGACTGGCGGACGTGAAGGAACCCATTTCACACGACCCTCAGTGGCTCTGGGCGGCAAGGCCGGCTTTTCCTCCGGCACTGCTGTCGAGAGTTCTTCTTGCGGCTGTCTTGGTGGAGGGCTCAATGACGGATCTGAGTCTATCAGGCTCCAGTCATCCAACTGAGGTACTTGTGCTGCCGTCAGCTCGGGTACCTTGCCCTTGCCCTTGGCCACATCCGAAGACCCCAAATCGTCCCAGACATGCTGCTCACGCTCGAGGTCATCTGGCATCGCAGGTTTCTGCGAAGGAGAGCCTTTTTCATCACGCTCGCTATGAGAATCTTCATCCCAGGTCGAGCTTCTAGAGCGTAGGGAGATTAAATCTGGGGATTTCGGCGAAATAGGCACCTTTGCAGGCGGCTCCGGGGTGGAACGAGCCCAAAGATCAGGCTCCGAGTCACCAGGTGCTATTACAACAGGTGGTTCATTTCCTTGGATTGGCGGCTGCACAGCAATTGTTGGCTTCCAGGGATTATTAGTTCCCGTCTCGTCCAGACTTATGCGAGAAAGCGAGGCAATGGGTGGCTGCAGAGATGCCGGAACAGCTTGGAGATTGGAGTCGGACGGAGCTCGATTTTTCAGAAATGGGTTTGTCTCTGATCTCTGTACGCCTGGTCTAAGGGCATCGGGGATCTGGCTGGGCAGACTCAGCTCGGATGGCTGCTTTCGTGCCTCGTTCCACACGCTATCCTCTTCTTCCGGAGAGCCGAAGCCTACGTCAATGCCGCCTCCACCAGGCCGCAGAGACGCAGGAACTTCCTTGCGATGGATGGACCTTGATGTAGCACCAGCCGCGGCTGCATGCTGGGGAGCCACATCTTCCCAAGCACTTGTGGCCGGCTCGTCCGCCCAGCTGCTGTTCTCCATCGATGGACGATGCCCTGGTGGCGGCCCAGGCGGGGGCAGAACGTCTTCGATACTGCCGGGAGGCTGCTGGACATACATGCTTTGATGAAGATGATCTGGTGGAAGAAGCTGTTTTGCGTATTGCTTTTTTTCTCCTCAAGCTACGCCAGCTTGTCGATCAGGGTCGAGCAGCAAGGGCTGGGCGAGAGAATCGAGGTGGGGGAGACGGGTTGGAAGTATGTCGTCACTGAATCAGCGATCAAGGCCAGCAGTGCATGGTGGCGGGAGTATGGCAGAGCAGCAGGAATTGCAGCCAACGCGAGGTTTGGGACTGAGGAGCTGAGAGCTATAGTATCGGACGAAAGACTGAGCCTTGCACGAGGCTTTAGGTGGTTTTGAAGAGAATCAGGCACTGTGGCAATCGAGGACGTCTGTTTCTGTTCCTGGAGGATTGGGGAAGAGTGTGGCGGTGCGAGCAGCGCTTGTACCTTCTGGAGTGCGGAGGCCTGCCCGCTGCGTGTTAGTGGACGCAAGGATGACGCAGCCAGCCTCAAGCGCCGCGCAATGCATTGGAATCAGGCTGAAGGTGGCGATTTATGGTTTGCTCGGCGCTGCGTTGAGATCGTATAATAATGATGGGTGAAGGGACCAATAAAGATACCAGAGCATAACGCATAGTTGTATCAACGGAGGAGCTGCGCGCGCATTTGATGGAGCCGTCATAGCTTCATAGAGCACCAAGGTACGTTGCCATGGCGCCACACTTGGGGACCTTGATGAGGTACCCGCGGGATACGCCATTGACGCTGGTACACCTCAGCCTGCTGTAAGTACTGGAGCTTGGCAGGTACTGCGCTAATACTGTACCTGAGTGATTACATGTGCCGAGCACTCCATTGAAAGGCGTCTTCCTGCGAAAGCCACGCTGGAGTGCTTTGTGTGCCTATCTGCACCGCCACACTCTTGATCGACGTAGGCGACGTATAACTTCACCGAATTTCTTCTCATTCCAGTATGAGTCGTACAAAAAGGCACTGTTGGCTAGCATTGGAGATAGTAGCTCATCAGGAGGGACCAAGGAAAGTACTCGACCTGTCAAATCCTCCCCTATCTTGTTTCCGTCTATTAGTATGGATCGATCAAGGCAGGGCAGCTTCTACATGCTTTGAGTCCTTATGTATTGTGCCACTCTATGATGATCTGGTCCATAGTCTCGCCTTGATTTACTTCTTCACTTCTTCTTGATAAATCCTCTGAACATCTGGACATCGGTTTGCATGGTGAGATCCTCTGTACGACGACATGGGCACCGCCTTGAGCCAACAGCTTAGACAAGAACTACAACCGCAATCCAAGCCGTGTGCCATCATCAAAACTAGTTTTACACGTTTAATTCTTCTAAGGATTAAGTGCAGCTGTGGTAAAAATGGAATTTATTCTCTGCCGCCTCGCGATCCCTTTGACATGAGTCTGTGTTGCGCTTATAAATCCTCCAGCGAAACCCACGTCATGTCTAAATCTACTCAGTCGGCTGTGTTGGGGTTGTCCAGAGTTGGGTAACTCAATTATTACTCATGGAGAAGGAATTTGATCTTGTGAATTGCTATAAACTAAGCCATATTCTCTGTTTGCTATGAATATAAACCATGGCTTTTTTCTTCTCTTCGTTTCCAATGGCCAAAGCTCTTCCTACTCTCCTTAACAGTAAACGAAATCCAAAATTAAACAGAAAACGATTCCACTAGAGCCAGAGTGAATGAATATGCATCTTCGTTGACACACCATGGATACAGCAGTGAGTAAACTCCCGTATAGATCTGTCATTATATATTCTTTTACTCACCAAGTGCGCAGGATGATGTATATAGCAATGAAGATGGCCGGTTTTAATACGTTGACAGTGCGGCCATT